TTTTTTTTTTTTTTAATGTTTATTTTTGAGACAGAGACAGAGCATGAACGGGGGAGGGGCCGAGAGAGAGGGAGACACAGAATCCGAAACAGGCTCCAGGCTCTGAGCTGTCAGCACAGAGCCCGACGGGGGGCTCGAACTCACGGACCGCGAGATCGTGACCTGAGTCGAAGTTGGACGCTTAACCGACTGAGCCACCCAGGCGCCCCAATGCCATTCTCCTTTTAATGCAGTAAGGTCAAAGAATGTGTTGTGTTCAACTTCCTAGAAAATACTGTGATTCATCCTGTTCTAGCATTATTAATTTCATCCTCACAGTCAGTGTTTTTAGAAAGATAATCTTCACAATCAAATATCTTAAGTTTTCTTCACAGCACATAGTACGGAGGATAAACCACGAACACTTATAATACCAACTTTCATAAAACGTAAGATTACATTGTTCATATGACTCACCATTATTTCATGTGCTACTAAGAAAAAAAAATTGCCATGCTCATTTTAGAAATGTTAAGATGTTCGTCTTCAAAAAATCACCTAAAATAATGGTTTTTGTAATCTTTTTGTTGGTTTGTTTTTCCAGAATTGATTGCCTTGTCTTTCTTCATTGTAACCTTTTGCAGACGAGGCACTTCATAATTCTCAAGAGATCTGAGTAGCCCTTTCCTGCAGGACTACTTGAATTGGGAGACAAGGACATTTCCAAAAAAGCACACTTAACATTTTAACAATTTTATATTTCAAAAGTGAAGAAACAATTGTTATAGATCCTACCCCCTAAATGTTGTCATTATGCCAACAATAAGTGAAAGCATAATTAACACTTATCAAAAGGTGGGCAGGGGTGCCTGGGTGGCTCAGTCTGTTAAGCCTCTGACTTTGTCTCAGGTGATGATCTTGGGGTTCAGGAGTTCGAGCCCCGCATCAAGCTCTGTGCTGACAGCTCCAAGCCTGGAGCCTACTTCAGATTCTGTCTCCCTCTCTCTCGGCCCCTCCCCCTCTTGAGCTCTATCTGTCTCAAAAAACTAAATAAATATTCTTTTTAAAAAGGTGGGCAGGGGCACCTGGGTGGCTCAGTCGGTTGAGCATCCGACTTCGGCTCGGGTCATGATCTCGCGGTCGGTGAGTTCGAGCCCCACGTGAGGCTCTGTGCTGACAGCTAGGAGCCTGAAGCCTGTTTCGGATTCTCTGTCTCCCTCTCTCTCTCTGACCCTCCCCCGTTCATGCTGTCTCTCCCTGTCTCAAAAATAAATAAACGTTAAAAAATTTTTAAAAAAATAAAAAAAAAATAAAAAGGTGGGCAGATCTTTTTTTTTCAGTTGAGAAAAATGACTGTAGCTTTTGATAATCAACAGCTAGCTCCCTGTTAATTCTCTCTCACTTTCTCTCAAAGTTTATCAAAATACTACCCTTCTCCACTAATTAAATTTTCTGTATTTTAATTTTGCCCAAGCAAATATGGCAGTGAGCAAAACTGCAAAATACAAATATGATCAGAGGTAGAGCTTCCACACAATTTCATCTCCACAGAATCACTTCATAGCAAGAGGATAACCTGCTTTCCTGAAATAAGGTTTCCAAAACCATTTTTGTTTTCGCACAAAGGACTAAAAAAAGAATGAATAGGAATTCATCTTTTTTCACAGAATCAAAATTTAAATTACAATTACTAACGCTCTCTTAGCATTTATATATATATATATATATATATATATGTACACACACACACACACATACTAAAATATAATAGCACCAGCTTCTGTTCATCTTTCAACCGTACAGTGCAAAACCTAATCAATTAGTCCCATCACTCACCTTTCTGCCTACTTAAATGTATTTAGGGGAAAATATTTTTAATATTACTCTAGTTCTTCCATGGTCACTAGCAAAAACAAACCCGAATTCATGAAATATGTTAAAGAAATCAGCAGTCACTGGGAAATACGTGTTTACAACAAAATATAAGGCACAGACTAATGGATACATCTTGAGAGCACCTGCCCTACACCTCACCAACATACAACTCCATCTAGGCATAAGGTAATGGCAGGAACTGGTTAGAGAGCAGAAACAAGCCTGACTCTCTCCACAGAATATTAAATCCATTCAAGACAGAAGGTGAATGACAAAAGATTACAATGCCGATTCCCCGAAGAGAGTCCAGGCAAAAGCGAACCATAACTGTCCTGAAGAGCCCGCCTCACAGTCCCGAACTATGCCACACTTCCCATACCTGTGCCCACCCCATCCCAACCCACCCCTCTTCCAGGCCTAGCTTATCCAAGAATCCGAAGTTACACTCCTTCCTTCCTCTGAGACCGAACCTCCTTAGCCCCCGCCCTTTCCCGCTCACAGACCACCGCCCCCCAACCAAATGCTGCCAGGGGGCGGGGAGAGGGGAGTCGCCAGAGAAAAGCGCGTCCCGCTTCCAGCCGCTGCCGCCTCCCGGGAGACCCCACGGCGCTCGGGACAGGGGCCGGGATCCAGGCCAAGGGGAGTCGCAGGCCCGGTCCTCACCGACTCCCAAGAAGCAGCCCCGGGCGAGAAGACGGAAGATCACTTACTAATGGGAGCTCTGCCAAAAGTTCCCTGCCATGGAACACAGCTTGCCCTGAAAAAAAAGCACCAGCCGGCGGAGCGGCCCGCGGAGCGACCATAGACCCAGCCCGCCCGGTAACTGCGCTCCTGGATCTGATCGGCTCGGCACCGCTCCGCGGCGGCTACGGTGAGAGGAAGAGGACGGCACTCTAATCTCCTTGAGGCCGGCCGGCAACACTCTACACTGTAAACCCGTTCCTATGGATAAAAGTTCCGGCTCGCCCCGCCGTAGCCGTAGCGGATGAAGCCGGTGGGGAGCAGACGGCCTGTGGGCGCAGAAGGGGCGGGAACTGGTGCTCACAGAAGACTCGCGGCGGTCGGAAGGCTCTCGCGAGAGCTTTCTACCAGTTCCGGCCTGGAACCCGCGAGCTGTTTTCCCTGAGCAGCTTCCATTCACTGAGCGGGGATTAGAGAGGGCAAGTAGGCTGGTTTGGGATTTTGTTATTTCATTTTACAGGCCTCCACGATGGCACTTAATTAAGATATAAGATTTCCTGACTTCAGTTCTTTGACCTGCTGTTGGAAAGAGGAATAAAGATTATTTTGTCCTCAAGAAATAATAAATAAATAAACAAATAAATAAATAAATACAAATAAAGATTATCCTCAAGGACCCACCAAAATTTAATGGCATTAAGCCGAATACGTTCTGAATGGAGTCCTTTTGGACTGGATTGCAAACTTCTGGAGCAGCAGTGCTTTTCAAAGCCAGAGACTACCAGTTTTGCAGAACAGTGAAAAACATTTTTCCTTTATTATATATATGCATGTGGTGTATTCATATATATGTACCAAATAGAAACATACAGCCCAAAATGCAATAATTTAATTTAAAAAAAAAAATTTTTTTTTCAACGTTTATTTATTTTTGGGACAGAGAGAGACAGAGCATGAACGGGGGAGGGGCAGAGAGAGAGGGAGACACAGAATCGGAAACAGGCTCCAGGCTCTGAGCCATCAGCCCAGAGCCCGACGCGGGGCTCGAACTCATGGACCGCGAGATCGTGACCTGGCTGAAGTCGGACGCTTAACCGACTGCGCCACCCAGGCACCCCAATAATTTAATTTTATGAGATGAAATAATCTGTATTTCTCATTCTTTATGTTGTGATATTGCATTTATTATTAAAGCTTATTTTTATAAATAATTGAATACACCTAAAAGTTGTTCACAGAAGACCAGTGTTGTGAGTAGCTTAAGACATTATATTCCAACTAAGTGAAATAAGTCAGAAAAAGATACCATATGATTTCATTTCGTGTGCAATTTAAGAAACAGAAGAAAGAGACAAAAAACCAGACTCTTAAATATAGAGAACTAACAGGTGATTCCAGAGAGGAGGTGAGTGGGGGAGGTTTAAGAGTACACATATCAGTGATGAGCACTGAGTAATGTACAGAATTGTTGAATCATTATATTGTAAATCTGAACTAACAGAATACTGTATGTTAATTATATTTGAACAAAAATAATTGTAAAGGTAAAATTAGAGAAAAACTACTCTTTCCAACGTTTTTTTTAATTTATTTATTTTTGGGACAGAGAGAGACATAGCATGAACGGGGGAGGGGCAGAGAGAGAGGGAGACACAGAATCGGAAACAGGCTCCAGGCTCTGAGCCATCAGCCCAGAGCCTGACGCGGGGCTCGAACTCACGGACCGCGAGATCGTGACCTGGCTGAAGTCGGAGGCTTAACCGACTGCGCCACCCAGGCGCCCCGAGAAAAACTACTCTTTAAGCTTATTTATTATTTATTTATTAATGGGGGGGGCGGTCCGCAAGAGAGGGAGAGAGAGAATCCCAAGCAGACTTGGCACTGGCAGCACAGAGCCCCATGTATGGCTCAATACCACTAAACTGTGAGATGGCGACCTGAGCCGAAATCTAGAATTGGATGCCTAACCAACTGAGCCACCCAGGTGCCCCAAGAAAAACTATTTTTTAAAAAAGACGTTATTTTTCACATTATGGGTGGAGACGAAATAGGGGGTGGTGACATTGTAAGTTAGATAAATATTTTCCTGAATGGAATAAAATATCAGGTATGTCAGAAATAGCAAGTAGTACTATAACAGAATTTTAAATTTTGATTAAATTATGTGTATGTGTATGGTCAGGATGTCAAACACATGTCAGTAGCTTAACATAAAAATATTTTATATGTCACATATCACTACCATAAAGTCTGATATGGATTATATTGACTTTGGTAGTTGTCCTCCAGATCTTCAAGGATCTGGCATATTTTCATCTTTCAACTACTCTATCTTGGTTCTTTGCTTCTGGGCTTCAGATCTTTCTAGAGAAAGTTCAGAGGACTCTCACTGACTGAATCAGTGTTAAGAGGCTTGAACCAGAAACAATACAATCACTTCCTTTCGTGACCCATTGACCAGAATAGGCACACGCCTCTAACTTAACTGCAAGGGAGGCTGAAAAATGTAGGGTATCATGTAGCATATTTGATGAACACTAACATGGACTACACTGCAGATCACAGTCAAAAAAGTTTATAAAGTGGTAGCTTAAGAAACACCAGGCCATAGGAGCACCTGGATGGCTCAGTTCGTTGAACGTCTGACTTCGGCTCAGGCCATGATCTCACAGTTCGTGAGTTTGAGCTCCACATTGGGCTCACTGCTGTCAGCCTGTTAGGACACAGTCTATTTCAGATCCTCTGTCCCCCTCTCTCTGCTCCTCCCCAACTTGTGCTCTCCCAAAAAATAAAGAAAAAAAATACCAGGCCATAGGCTACTTCACAAGGTTCAGAATTTCTTCAACTCTCTGAGAAGTTTTTGATAGTTTGATACCTTTCGGAAGATAAGGACACTGTGATAAATTAGTATTGTTAAATGTTTTGTTCTATGTGCCTCTGTTACACTTTGTTTCTACCACTAGACCAGTACTGTTTCATATCTAATTCTGCATTCTTCCTATAAAACTGTGAGCTCCTTCATCTTTGTATCCCTGTTAGTTCAAGGTATAACACAAGGTGGGCACAGCAGTACTGATATTTGAAACTGACATAACTGGGTGAGGGCAGGGAGGAGGGGTGCTTAAAGAAAAACAATGTAACCGTATGGACACAAAATTAGGTTCTAAAGTGAGTATTTACAATGCAAAAGAGAAATCAAACAAATGAATAAGGCCTTGGAGATTCAGGTCATTTCTTCTGTGAACGCGTAGGCAATTTACAAAACAACAACAACAACAACAACAACAACAACAACACCTAAATAGAAATGCTTTCTGTGTGCAATCTGGTTTCTGCCTCCCAACCAGAATAACACATTCCCAGCAGTTCCAGTGCTCCCAGTGGCTGTGCAAGTCAGGGACCTGAATAAAGCTCAGATTTCATTTGTTTCAGGGCAAATCATCTCTGAAGGTAGCCTGTAAATGGAGGTTGAATTGAATTGACTTGAACCAAATGCTAACTTATTTAATAGTATCTCTGGTGAAATAGAGCAATTTACAAAAGTTATTGAAATACCTAGCTGTCCCAGCTTACCTGGATGCAAAAGATGATGAGACACGTAGGTTTGCTTAATTTTACTGACAGTTTTTTTTTTTTTAACTTTTCTTTATAATTTTGGTATTGTTTCTCAGCCCTCACTACTCACCTAATTTAATCACCTACTTAATTTGATCACTTACTGGAATCAATCAGTCTTGTCTCTTCTAATTTTTTATTTACCTTGTACTTTTCAAATAGGGATATGATCAATAGTCTTGATGCTAATATTGATTCTCCTGTGATAAAAAAAGTATTTATCCTTTTTCCTACAATGCCTTTTCCAGAAGTATGAGTGGTATTTCTCAGAAACTTGAGCCTAGAAATGTAGTAGTTTTCTCAAGCTCACTTAGCTGGTTACTGGCAAAACAGCAGGAATCTAGTTCTTTTGATTCCCTGTGCAGTGAGCTTTTCACTCAACCATACAGTTCCAATAAAACTATAATAACTAAACTACTATAAACACAATATTCCAGGTTTGTAGTAGAAGTTTCTCTTTCTAAACACTATTATTGGAGACCATCTTCTCACTTTTAATTAAACTTTTATTGTAATTTGTCTTGATACTAATAGTCTTTATTGTGAAAATATGCTTTCCTCTATCTTGTCATTCACTGTGTTTCCCTTTATTTTAATTTCTGGAACCCATATTTGTGGAAGATGACTAAACCTCTAACTTATATAAAGCTTACCAGTTAAGAACACAGTCTCTACGTCTGGGTGGCTCAGTTGGTTAAGTGTCTGACTCTTGATTTCAGCTCAGGTCATGATCTCATAGTTCGTGGGATCGAGCCCCAGGCTGGGCTCTGTGCTGATAATGCAGAGCCTGCTTGGGGTTCTTTCTCCCTCTTTCTCTGCCCCTCTCCCGCTTGCACTTTCTCTCTCTCTCTCTCTCAAAATAAATAAAAAACAAACTTAAAAAAAAAAAAAAAAGAACTCAGTCCCTAAACTAGACTGATCAAGTTCCAGTAATAGCTCTGGCATTTACTAGTTGTGTAACTATCTTAGTCAGCTTAGACTGCTGTAACAGAATACCACACACTGGGTGGCTTAAGCAACAGATATTTATTTCTCACAGTCCAAGATCAAGGTGCCAGCAGATTTGGTTCCTGTAGAGAACTGTCTTTCTGACTTGCAGATGGGTACCCTCTCATTGAGTCCTCACCTGGCAGAGAGAGAGAGAGAGAATAAGGATCATCCTATCATCAGGGCCTCACCCTTATGATCTCATCTAAACCTAATTAACTCCCAAAGGCCCCACCTCTAAATACCCCTGGGTATCAGAACTTCCACATATGAATTTACATTCAGTCTATGCCAATAACCTTGGTCAAGCTACTTAATCACACTGAATCTCAGTTTCTTCTTCTGTAAAATAGGGATAATCAGAGTTACTAAATCATAGAGTTCTGGTGAGGTTTAAATGAACCCTAAGTGGGGGATGCCTGGGTGGCTCAGTAGGTTGAGTGGCCGACTTCAGCTCAGGTCACGATCTCACAGTTTGTAAGTTCGAGCCCCACATCGGGCTCTGTGCTGACAGCTCAAAGCCTGGAGCCTACTTCAGATTCTGTGTCTCCCTCTCTCTCTGACCCT